CATATGAGAACCGGATCAAGGAGTAGTCGTCATTCCCACGATAGCAAGAAACACCACCACCACCGCCTCCTCCACCACCAGCAGCAGCAGCAGCAGCAGCAGCAGCAGCACCAGCAGCAGCAGCAGCACCAGCACCACCACCACCAGCACCACCACCACCAGCAGCAGCAGCAGCACCAGCATCAGCAGCAGCAGCACCAGCAGCAGCAGCACCAGCAGCAGCACCAGCAGCAGCAGCAGCACCAGCAGCAGCAGCAGCAGCAGCAGCAGCAGCAGCAGCAGCAGCAGCACCAGGCCCAGCACCAGCAACAATAATAAGAAGCATCACCGTCATGATAGTCATCGTAATCGCCATCGTCATCGTTTTCGTCCTCATCATGATAAACAGCCGCTGCAGCAGCAACATCATCGCCATCATGATTACCATCATCATCATCAGCATCACCCGCGACGTCATCTGTACGTTCGTCATCACCATCGCGGCACTTGCATCAATGTCAGCACCCAGCGCTATTAGCATCACCAACGAATTCTGTTGGATTTCTGTTGTCTGCTGCCTGTTCCTGCTGGTGTTGGAGGGTTCAGATCCCTGCATCCAGGCCTACGCGACGACTTACGGCAATGCGTTCGCGCAGGCACATGACAAGTGCAGGTTTGAACAAATGGTTGGTGGAGAGGACGAGGTATTTTATACCCAACTTGTGGGGGACATTCTTCGGTGCTGCCGTGCTGAAGTTTTTTTTCTGCTTTGTGGGCCGTTTTGGGAGAAATCAGAGACGTGTCCTGCAGCGAGCAGAAGGACCTGACTTCCGCTGCCATGCTTCCAATGTCACATTGATGTCAACAGTTTTAGACTCATAACCAAGTGCATACTTACTATATATATATATACACACATACATGCACACACACACACATGAATGTATGTACGTATGTATGTATGTATGTATGTATGTATGTATCTATGTATGTATGTATGTATGTATGTATGTTTGCAAGTGTCAATGTTTGCGCATATGTTTGTACGTAGGCAATTGTGTTACACACACCCATATATATATATACATACACATACATGTATATACATACACACACACACACAGAGTCGTGCGCACCAGACACACACACACACATATATACATATATATATATATACGAACACACATACATGCATGCATACATACGCAGACGGACACATGTATGCATTTAGGGCAAGTGAGGAAGCGTGACGTTACAAAGGGTGAGATCGGGAGTATGAGGGAATGCGTGCCCGTGTTATTCGAGCATCACAGCTCCTTTGCTGTGGCGCATGTTTTGTATGGATCATGATCATCAAATAAGACCATGGGTAACAAAGCCAGTCGTAAACAAAACAGTTGTTCACAGACCAGAAGCACCAATCAGGAATACTTGGTTCCCCAAAAAGCAAAACTCAATAGGGAATGATGGGCTCGTACGAGCAGTGGGTGGCACACAGTGGTAATTAGGAATACAAACTCAAGAGAGACAGCCGGTTCCTCAAACCACAAACTAAACGGGTCACAATGGGCTTCTATAAGCAAGCGGCGCCGAGCAACCGAGACACAACAAATGGGACGACTGACTCGTGAACCACCCTAGCAGCCCTAACACCAGACGTGGGACCCCGAACCCTCGGCACGGAGGGATGGATAGCAAACCCCAATCCCTTGAAGGCATGGCTTGGTTCCCGGAACGAAAACTTCAATAGGACTTGGTCAAGACGGGCAGATAGGTGCGAAAAGTTTGAAGATCGAGCAATGGCTGCGGAAAACCATGGCCATGCCGAGACCATGAAAGGAATACACGGCTAGGAAGGCTGGTACCCCAAAACCCATAGTCCTAACAGGAAAGAGTGGTGCAGATTGGTGTTCTGACAGCCTAACATGAGCTACGAGATGGGTGGCCAGCCCCCAAGCCCCGAAGGAATGACCTGGCCTTAGACGAGTGGCAAATATTCAGTCTTAGTTTTAGACCTGGAAAACCGATGCCATGAAAGAGATACATAGTTCAGAATACCGGTTCTGATTGAGCCCAGAAAGTCAAAACTAATCATCAAACCCTTCCAAAAGCTAAGTCTCCAAATCTCCACTGTGGCGGGAAAGCGCGACCAACTCTCGACGGCATAGTTGGCTTTGCGGCAAGCCCAAATTCCCCAAAGGAACTGATGGGTGGCAAATGCAACTCCGGTGCAGCGTCCAACAAATCTCAAAGGAATAATGGTGGCAAACCTTTAACCCTAAACGGTGTTACTGGGTCATGAGAAACCCAATGAGCCCCATTACGTTAGATCGCAACTTCTTCTGGGAGGTGACCATCAGGAGAAAGGAGACGTTGCAGGCTAGTATGCTAGACCAAAACACCTCGCATGGTGGGTGATAAACCCAGCACTTTCAACAATTCAAAATGATGACGGGCGAAAACACTGCGAACTGAGATCTGTAAAGTCTGATAAGACATGCAGGATGCAGAGTGCCCGGAAGCTAGTCTTGCAAGGGGATCGACCTCACACCGCCCAATGCACATGATTGCTGGCAAACCCTAGACCCCTTGTGACAAAGTGACTTGGCGTGAACATGGGATGTGATGCCCGAAGCCCGAAAGCAGCATCCAAAAGCCCAGAGCCTGAGAGGGCATGTTAGACGCTATTCTCAAAGATTCCAAACGAGATAATGGATAGCAAACTTCAAGCCTTCAAGGGGCGACTAGGCCCATGTGTGCACGCATGAAGACACGTGTGTACATGCATGTATATCTATAGATGTATATACATATATATATATATATACACATAATTATGTATGTATGTCACAGCTTTCTGTCCTGGTGTTTCTATGTGTGTACATATATATATATAGATATACATACACGTAAAAATACATACAATGGTATGTGCATAGACATATTGGTATATATATATATATAAAGACACAAACATTTGTACATATCAGACCACTCATATTCATTGTTCAATGACCGTTGTGCACACGAAGGCACCAGCCGAAGATCATGTTTCCAAGGTGATCACTGATCCGACACAGCAAAACCAAACTCTGAATTCGAGAAAGTGAACACCGCCGCGGCATCATACTCTCCATTATACTTATGAGCAAACATATGTGCATATAAACGTAAGTATGATCATTCGCTTAATTGTAAATAAAAAATATATATGTATATGTATAGAAACATAATGACTCTCACCCACACATCCCTGCATACATACAATCGTACATACATACATTCGTACATACATACACACAAACAAACAAACATGCGCGCACACATACATGCATACAGACACTTATGCATACGCATATACATGTACACATGCATATGCATGTACATGTCCATACACATCCCCTTAATCGCATGCACATACGCATACCTGTGCAGTTACTTTGGTACATGCATACACACACACACATACACTCATGCACACATGGATACATGCGTACATACACACACACATACATACATACATACATACATACATACATACATACACACATACACACAACCTACATATATGTCATGTGAGTATGTTTGTATCTATTTGTTTGTTTGTTTGTTTGTTTGTTTGTTTGTAGGTAAGTACGCATGTAGGTAGGTATGTATGCACACATGTATGTATGTGTGTATGTATGTATGTATGTATGTATGTATGTATGTATGTGAGTAAGTAAGCGCATGAGTAAGTATATATATATATATAAGTATGTATGTTTGTTTGTTTGTATGTATGTTTCTGTGCATGTGTATGTTTCTGTACATGCATACGTGTATGTATGTGTACATGTACGTCTAAGTATATGTGTTCGTATATACCATGTCTAGATATATACGTGTATGTATGTACAGGTATGCAGGTATGCATGCATGTAAATATGTCTGTGTGTATGATCAGGGTGCCTCTGTCTCTTGCCGGTGATCCGCGATATCCCCCTTCCATTGTACGCGTGGTGTATGGGTGTGCATGAAAACATCCTGCGCGAACAGAAGCACACCAAAGCCCCACACCTCAGATGCGTCCAGCATGCCGTCTCCGGAAATATCCAGCCTAGGGGGGAGTTCTGAAGAGATGCGAGCCACGCATCAGAAATGACATCGGCAAAAGGACCCGGAAGTCTGAGCGATCTAGCCAGGAACCCAAAGCTAGCATCCGATGGGAGCAGCCGCTTGAATTGAAGTGGGGAGAGGCGATGAAGCAACAAGTTCAGAATTAACTTAAGCTGAAGAATGTGATTAAGGTCTGAACCCTTCCGATGCCTTATTCACGTGAAGTTGTAAGTGAGCAAAACGACACAAAACCCACAATTCCTGAGCAGCCTTCTAAGCACAGTCTAGAACATGTTCTGCGCTGTGACAGCTAGAGGCTCCACGTGGAGATTCGGGGCTAGCAGTTGAAACACGTCCAGGAACGGAATATTTTGAGCAAAGGCTGTCGGGCGGGTTCACATATCTCCTCGTTGAAAGGGCTGAGGATTCATCTAATTCCAATCGGCTCTCTGAGCTTCGTCTACTTTGAAGGGAGCTTCGTCTACTGGTGACAACGAAGGCAAGGCAATGCCAATGCTACTACCAGTAGCTCTGTAAAAGTGCAAGGGCAGGCATGTATGCAGCCATGTCTGAACCTAACGAACGGCGTGTGTGTGGAAGCTCAGTTTAAGGGCAGCAGCTTGTTGCCCCATGCCAAGCTCACCATGGGTCTGATGGCTGACTATTCACGCAATACGAACCAACCTCCGAAGGCTTTGCGAGTGAAACAGCAGCAAAAAACTGGTTCGATTCAGTTGTCCTGACCAACAAACATCCCTCTGTGTGGTGTATTGCGGTGAGATGATCAAGGGCCGGCGTTGCAGCGGACGGCTCTACCAGGGAGAGAACGTGTTCAAGGCTGTTGATCTTGCAGCAACGTGACTCATCGAAAAGCTCATCCAAGCGGTGTTCCCGCTGCTCTCCTTGGAGTATGACAAGGGGATGACGACACGTTGATGATTTCAGGTTTAGAAGAAGGGTCTGAGTCTGAGACGTTTAATGGAATTCCGTATAGCCAGATGCTGAAAGCCATGACACACACACACAACATAGAATTCTGCCATCAGCCTTTCAGCCCCGGAAAGGAACGTTATCCAGGCTTGAAGCCCCCAAAGCCGACACCTCAAGGGACAATGGCAAACGATGCCAGCAACCAGAGTCCCACTAACGAGCTGCGAGCAAGATTGCAGATGCTGCATACGGCGACAGAGAAGATCCTTCAAGCCCTAACAATCCTCAGCTCTAACAAAGGTTGGGAGAACTGTGGCACACATATGTCACCTTCGGCCACAGCACTTTTGCTTAGTTCAAAGCTTCTTAACCGTAGCAGCACGTCGAGAAGTTTCTGTCAGGGGCATTGCCAAGGGTCGTTCTTGCTCGCGTCGCTTGAGCCGAGTGTCCCTGTCAGGCCCAAATTCGGCACACAGTGCAAGGTTACCGGTTGCCACATGCTCGACATCAAGGAAAGGATCAACTGCAGGGCTGACACGAAGCAAAACCAACGCACGAAGTTCGAAACCCATAGCTCCAACTCCTGAAGCAAAAAAGCACGACAACAACCGCCCATGCTGAACTCACGGGCAGCATGCAGAAAAAAACACCAACAGTAGAACAGGAAAACCTGCAACACCTGCCAGGCACAACTTAAGATTGCACGATTCGAGTCCTCCCTTCGCCTGTGCTTTTTATAAAACAGCCTGACTTTCTGCGCCACGACGACTGCCATGGCAGCTGGGCGAAGGCCACGGAACACTTGCTCTCCAACCTTGTCGTGCCAAATCCCAAGTATGAATCTACTCCCCCTGGAATTTCTCCAGGACGAAACACGAAACTTGGCCGAATGGCCCTCTTGGGCATGCGGCAAGGAGTCAACAAGCTGTGCAGTCAGGGGGTTACTTATTCAGAACTGCCTAAAAGGCCTTTTCGATGTTGTGCCGATTGACAGAAGTTGTGTCCTGGAAACATGTGCGACTTTCCGTGGTTGCTGTCTTACAGGCATTGAGGTGGTTAGTGGGCTTGCACTTGGGAGCAAAAAAGACAACAGCCAGCTCCAAATTGGAAGCATGATTCCAGCACAAGCAGACAAAAGACTGAGTGCCATTTGACGAGCGAAACCGCGACCTCTACCAAAGGACATCAAAGGCCCCGTTTTGTCACTTCGTCAGCACGGCACAGCGGTCAGCTGATGAAGCTCCTGCAGCAAGCAGGTGCCCCGTGCACTTTGGAATCTTTGGGTGTCACGGTCCAGCTAGCGGGGCATTACCTCAAGCAACTTCTTCAAATGATTCCTACGCATGACAAAGTCGCGACACACTAGTAACAATCGGGGTGTTAGGCTTCGGGACTGCAGGGGATGGAACCACGTGTATTCGCCGACAGCCTGCTTAGTCTGCCGGGTCGATAACACTAGGGCACAATCGAGCTGTTACAACCTCCGGCCGAGGTTCATGCCCAGCCATTGCCGTGCGGTCAGTTCTAGATTCTAGAGACACACTCACATCTCGAGCGGCACGCGTCTTTACAGTACGATGCTTGCACAGTCTGCTGCCGATTGCAGATGCCTTCACGTGGTTCGAGACCGCAAGTCTAGTCAAGAACCAGGCCTCCAGCCGTGCAAACGCTGGTAACAGCTCCTTCAAGCATGATCCAGATGGCAAGCATGTTCTTGATCTCTGCATTTGACTGGAAACCTGTAAGCCACGTTTGGCACGTAGCACGACATAGACTACCGGCTTCTCAGGTTGTTGTTGTCATTGTTGTCACGGCTCGTTCCGCCAGTCTTTGTTGAGATGCCGATGTTAATGTGGTCTCATGGCCTTGTACTTCAGTTTTTGTGTCAGTTTACTACTGTTCTTCATCTTCACCATCATTGTATTACGTTATATCACAGCCATCATCAACACCATGAACACCATCAGCGCCAACATCATCCCTGTTATCAGCATCGCCATCATCATGATCAACAAAGTCAAAAATCAAAAGCCGGTGTGATCATCCCCATGCTGCTACTACTCCCACTACTGCTCAGAACTGTGTCTCTGCTGCCGAAAAACCGCCTATCATCCTCTACTAGTGCTACGAAGACGACGCACATGCCTACTACAAGTACGAACACAAGTATTCACAGTCGTACTCCTGCCACCAGTCCTACTAGTACTGCTAGTCGTACTTTACGACATCTACCAGTCCTAGAGTTGCAAGTGCGTACTCAGTTGCATTGCTGGTATTCCTAGTGGTGGCAGTACTAGTAGAAGTAGAAGTAGTAGTAGTAGTAGTAGTAGTAGTAGTAGTAGTGGTAGTAGTAGTAGTAGTAGTAGTAGTAGCAGTAGGAGTAGGAGAAGTAGCAGTAGTAGTAGTAGTAGTAGTAGTAGAAATAGTAGCAGTAGTGGTAGTAGTAGTAGTAGTAGTAGTAGTAGTAGTAGTAGTAGCAGGAGTAGTAGTAGCAGGAGTAGTAGTAGTAGTAGTAGTAGTAGTAGTAGTAGTAGTACTTTTGGTGATGTTTCACATGTATTTTGCAGAGACTTGTCCATCAGCAATGGTTGCAGCGCTGGTGAGCAGGTGTCAT